CCATGATTCAGAATCAACTTGAAAGCAACTTTTTGTTTGTTTAAGTCAGGTAAATCAACACTGGACCACAAGGTTGGTTTGAACTGCAAGGTCGGCAGTTCAAACTCACTAGTCATTCCTTGGAAACCCTTACATAGGGTTGCAATGAGTCGGAACCAATTCGACAGCATTTAACAACAATAACAACAATAATAAAGTGGAGGGTCATCAAAAAAACAAGAAGACCCCCAAAGAGATGGATTGACCCAGAGCAGAACTACAGAACCGGGCAGTATTTCGTTCTGTTGTGCATGGGGTCTCTATGAGTCAGAACCAACTCAATGGGACCTAACAACAATAGCTTTCTACATATGTCTTAAATGAGAGAATGAGGGGGAGATACATCTACAAGGATTGCCAACATCTGGGGAAAACTAGGAGAGGGGGATGGGACAGTTCCTCTCAGCACCCTCAGAAGGAATCAGTAACGTCAATACCCTGATTTGGACTTCTAGCCTCCAGAATATGAGGGAATACATTTCCAGTCTTCCAAGTTTCTCCACATTGTAGTATTCCTCTATGGCAGTTACGACACTAAATACTTGTTGAGAAACGCAAATGCCTACAATGGATCATGTTGTTGTTGTTAGGTGCCATTGAGTCGATTCCAATTATCACGCCGCTATGTGACTGAGTAGCACTGTTCCATAGAGTTCCCTAGGCTATAGAGCCAATGGGTGGATTCGAACCAACAACCTTTCAGTTAGCAGCTGAGCACTTAACTATGGCACCACCAGGACCCCCTACAGGGGCTGATGAGAAAGTATAAATGAGTGAACCAGACAAACATAGTAGTTACAATGACAAAGGATAGACAAAACTCAACTTCAGTCAACTACAGGGATACCTTGGAGATACAGCGAGCTGTGTTCCAGACCACTACAAAAACAGTGAGTATCGCAATAAAGTGATCCACACAAATGTTTTTATTTCCCAGAGCATAGAAAAGTTAGGCTGACACTTCATATACAGTAGCATGATGAGAAAGTTGAGATTCTGAGAGAATGACCACAATGTGGTACAGAGACAGGAAGGGAGCACACACTGTTGGTAGACGTGCTCACCTCAGGGTAGCCACACACCTTCCATTTGTAAGAAAATGTGGGATCTGTGGCGTACAGTCATGTGAACTGAAATAAAGTGAGATATACCCGTGCAGACTTTTGGTAATGTAGACCCAATGCAGACAGAGCTTCTGGCTTTTGAAAGAATAGGTACAATTATTATTATTCTCATGGGCACTCCTCCGATCTTAAAAAGAAATCAGTCCTTGACGACTGGGGGGCAGGCTTGCAGGGTATACCCTTTGGTTGGTTGATGATGCATGGAGGGGATTGTAACCATGGCAATGAAACAATACATGATAGGATGAATGTAAAACTAATGTTCTCCCATGTAAACTATCACATAATTTACCATAAAACATTAAAAAAAAAAAAATCAGTACTGCCTGCCATCATAGCTTATCTACTGGCCATGAGATATGCTCTTGTCTCAGGTTCTAGTACAATGCCTGGGACATAGTAGGTGCTCAATAAACAAAGAATAATAAATAAAGGCTATATAATTGATGACTTTTCATCAATTTGATCCTATAAGGAAACCAAGGACTAGAGAAAAATAAAAAGGGTCTTCTGAAGGGCACACAATGATTCTAGTCTACCCTTTCACACCATGCTCTGAGCCTGCAAAAACTAAATCCCGACCCACTGGCCTTGAGTCAACTCTGAGTCATAGCGACCGTTTTGGACAGAGTAGAACTGCTTTGTAGGGTTTCTGAGGCTATAAAAAAATGAGGGATCAGTATCATCTTTCTCAGAGTTGCAGGTGGACTTGAACCACAGACCTTGTGGTTAACAGTCCAGCGTTTAACCCACTATGCCATCAGGGATCCTGCTGGGCCTGCAAAGACCCCACAAAACATAGTTCCCAGAATGTAACGATGCGATGCTGTGAAAAGAAATGCTTTGGAATCAGAATGACCTCCTTTCAAGTTCTAGCCCTACCATTATTGACTCTGTGACCACTGGTAACTCCTCTGACTTCCCAGATTTCTTTGTTATTTGTTGTTGTTGTTATGTGCCTTTGAGTTGATTACCACTCATAGAAACCCTGAACTGCTGACCTTGCAGTTCAAACAGACCTTGCAGTCCAGAGCATTAACCCACAGCGCCACACCAGAGGTCCTCTGATCTATAATTGTTGTTGTTGTTAAGTGATGTCAAGTTGATTCTGACCCATAGCAACCCTGTGTAGGGTTTCCAAGGAGCAGCTGGTGAGCTTGAACCACCAACCTTGCAGTTCAAATGACTTTGAAGTCTGATGCATTAGCTCACAGCGCCACACCAGGAGTCCTCTTATCTACAATGTTGTTGTTAGGTGCCGTCGAGTCGGTTCCGACCCATAGCGACCCTGTACAGGGTTTTTGAGGGTGTAAATCTTTACGGGAGTAGAAAGACTCATCTTTCTCCTGCGGAACAGCTGGTAGTTTCGAACTGCTGACCTTAAGGTTCGCAGCCCGATTCGTAACCACTACGCTACCAGATAATAATCTCTATCTAGCAGAGCTCTTGTGAGAATTAGATCTGGGTGTACAATAAAGTTTTTGTTATTATTTGGGACTACATTCCATAATGTAGCCAAGGACCATCAAAAGAACAACATGTCTGTCTTGGAAGAAGTGCAGCCAGAGCGCCCCCTGGAGGCCAGGATGGCCAGATATCATCTCTCATACTTCAGACATGTTGTCATGAGGGACCAGTCCTTGGAGAAGGGCATCATGTTTGATAAAATGGAGGGTCAGAGAAAAGAGGAAGACCCTCAATGAGCTAGATTGGCACAATGGCAGCATCGATGGGCTCAAATGTACCAACGATTGTGAGGATGGTTCAGGACTGGGCAGTGTTTCATTCTGTTGTGCAGAGGGTCACTATGAGTCGGTATTGACTCGATGGCACCTAACAACATTTCATAAGTACAGCATTTTCTTTGGAACTCCCAAAACACAATAGTTCTTGGGGGATTTCAAATCCTAATAGAAAAGAATGCTTGGAGACAGGGGTCAAACGATCTCATCTTCAAACTTCTCTAGCCCATTACTTCCTCTTCTATCATATCGCAGTGTATGGAGACACCCACCTACCGGCATGCCACAGTTCTTGGGAACCCTGGATCCAAACTCAGAACAATGTTAGCAGAATCTTCAGTTCCTAGCTAACAAGAAGACTCAGGGCTCTTCCCACTTTTAGACTTCTATATCCTGCGCATCCTCCAACTCCCATCATTCAACAGTGCTTAGAGACCTCACAACTCCCAATATGCAGTAGTCGTTGGGGACCTTTGCCCCAAATCTAGAACCATGTTTGGGAAGCCCTCCAATTCTAAGCCAACAACATGAATTGGAACTCTCCCATCTTTGAATCTACTTTGCTCTTGAATTTCTCATAACTCCCAACATACAATGGTGCGTGGAGACCCTATCTCCCAGCATGCAACAATACTTGGAGACCTCACAATTCCCAGAATGCAACAGTCCTCAGGGACCTTGAATGCAAATCTAGAACCATGTTTTGGAAATCCTTTAATTCTGAGCCAACAACAGGAGTTGGAACCCTCCCATCTTTGAGTCTACTTTAGCCTTTGGACTTCCCCTAAACTCCTAACATGCAATGGTGCTTGGAGACCTAGCTCCCAGCATGCACCAGAGCTTGGAGATCTAGATCTCACTTCCCAGCATGCAATGTCCTCCACCTCCAGGCTCTCCGCCCTTACCTGAGAGGCCAAAGCAGACAGCTCCAACTCGGAGCAGGAATTCTGCCCCTTTGCTGAGCACCATGATGATACAGAGGCATCCTAGAGCCACCACTGCCAGGCCCACCACTGCTATCACGGCAGCCGCCAGATTCATCTCTGCAGTGAATAGAGAGAAAGAGACAGAGAACACAGGATTCAGAGAGAGGGGAGAACGACCCTTCAGGGACCCAGAATCAGGAAAGTGGGAAAATCAGGACTCGACAAAAGGATTTTTAAGTCACACACCACCCAGTCCCGTGTTTCATTTATATTGTTGGAGAGGGTCAGTTTCTTTTTTACAACATTTCTATCATATTGTTGAGAAGACAGTTACTTGCCTAAAGTCACAGAGCAAAGATTAGACGGGGATGGGGCCACGGAGGCTGGCTGAAGCCCTGAAATTATTGCATTAGATCATCTTTAAAACTGAATCCTTAATCCAAAAATATCTCCTTTAGTCTCCTTTAAACTACTGTCTTTATGGGATCAAACTGACAACGGCAACGTGCTAGATAGGATAGGAAGAGTAGGGGCGGTGAATGTATGTTAATGAAACCACAGGCACTGCCCTAGAATCAATTCCCACTCACAACGACCCTATCAGACCAAGTAGAACAACTCCATATGATTTCTGAGGCTGTAAATCTTCACAGAAGCCGACTGCCTTATCTTTCTTCCGAGGAAGGCTGGTGGGTTTGAACTGCTGATTCTACGGTTAGCAGCCCAGAGCTTAGCCCACTGTCCCATGAGAGTTCCTTCAAACTTACACAGTGAATGCCAAAGGCTGAGCTTTAGAAAAGCATGCCTCCGCTCTTGTCTCTGTTGCCATCACCTCCGAAGATGGGACATCTCCACAAGGCAGGAGCTGAACCCATCCCGGAGCAATGCCCTCACAGACTCCTCCAGTAGTGTCAGCATACCAGCAGCCCAATACGCAAGTCTCACCTTTCTTTGTGGTTCTCTGGAAGATGCGTGCGTTCTGGCCCGTGGTGAAGAATTTAAAGTAGGTGCAGTTTGCTTCTGTGTGAGCAGGAGAGAGAGAAAGGGAGATGATGACATAGTAGCTCCTTTTGCAAACTCACTGGGTCACTGGGTGGTACAAACCGTTTGTGCGTGACTGTGAACCTAAAGGCTGATGGTTTGAGCCCACCCAGAGGCACCTTTGGGAGTGTTGGTGGTACTGCACGATAAGCACTGGACTGTTAACCACAAGGTCGGTAGTTCAAACTCATCAGCAGCTCCTTGGGAGAAAGGTGAGACTTTCTGCTCCCATAAAGATGTGCAGCCTCAGAAATACTATACAGAGTTACTATGCATTAAATTAACTCAACCATGCCAAATAACTAGCAATTCTACTCTGTTAAGATACGGACTCGTCATGAGTTGGAATCAGCTTCCCAGCAGCGGATTTGGCTTGTTGGTTTGTGCAAGATCAAAGGTTAAACATTTCACAAAGTCCACCCAGTCAAACCCACTGCCCACGAGCCAGTTCTGACTCATAGCGGTCCTGCAGCACAGGACAGAACTGCTTCATAGGGTCTCTGAGGTTGTAAATCTTCTATGGGAGCAAACAGTCTCATTTTTCTCCCTTGGAGAGGCTGAACTGAAATAATCTACTGCCCTGAGATACTCTTTAAACCTTAAAACTCTGTACCCCAAATTCCCTGAACTCTTCTTAAAAACCAAATTGTTTAGCAAATTAGTAAATTATGCCTGACTTGAGTCTTGGGCTCTTTTAAGAACTGTCTATGTGGGATCAAACTGATAACAGCAGCTTGAGAAATCAGATCAGAAATTTACAAGGTAGTGAGTTCATGTTAACAGGGGAGAAACCATTTAGAACAAGACAAGGGGAATGTTACATAACTCATAGAATGTCAGCAATGTCACGGACTTGAACATGCACAAACTGTTGGAATGATGTGTGTTCTGCCGTGTATATTTTCAATAACAATGAAAAGAAGATGACTATATTTAAAACAAGAAAAGAAATGATACTCAGTTTATTCAACCAAAGACACAAGACTCAGGTAGTAGAAGGCTAGCTGTCTCAGAAAGGAGATTTACTATGTCTAAAACCTATAAAGAGTTCATGTCTGAAATACACAAGGAACCCCTGAGGTCAGCAAGCAAAAGGAGATCGCCCGGTTGCAAAACAGACAAAGGATATGAATGGCCAATACATGGAAGGAAGGTGAAGCCCGAACGACTTACAAGTACATTGAAGAGATGTTATACCTCTCAGAGATCAGAGAAAGATAACTTAGATCAGCAGGGGGCTACTACTTTTGATCGAGTGGACTGGCAAATATTCAAAGCATTACATCAAGCATTGGAAGGATGAGAGGAAACAGCTGGGAGTTTTTCTCAAAAGCACTATAACACACCTCATGAAGTGAAGTATGTATCTGTATATCCTGGTGCCCAGCAATTTCATATCCGGGTATACAAGAGCAGGTCTAAAAGCAGTTCATGCATGCCTGGGTTTATTCCAAACAAAATATATTTAAGCATATCTCAGCACTCATTGGATGGCTACAGATACATCCTCTCAGTGATACACTTGTCTTAACTTCATTAAGGTGCCATCAAAAACAAGATCCAACTAAAATAGCGGCTTCCAAGAGGATCTGCTGGGAGAGCTCAATTTAAGGCAGAAGGGTTCGCTGAGAAGGTTACATTGTTGTTAGGTGCCATTGAGTAGCGTCTGACTTACAGCTACCCTCTGAATAACAGAACGAAACACTGCCCTGTCCTGCACCACACTCACAATTGTTACATTTGAGCCCACTGCTGCTGCCACTGTGCCAGTCCATCTCATTGGGGGTCTTCCTCTTTTTCACTGACCCTCCACTTTACCAAGCATGATGTTCTTCTCCAGGCACTGGTCCCTCCTGATAATGTGTCTGAGGCGTTACCAAGTCTAGCCATCCTGGCTTCTAAGGAACATTCTAGCTGTACTTCTTCCAGCACAGATTTGTTTGTTCTTCTGGCAGTCCATGGTACGTTCAATATTCTTCTCCAACACTGTTTTCTTTCTTTCGGGAATTCAAAGGGATCATCTTGAAAGATTTTCTCCAAGAGCACAGGACAATCATGGGAGTTCATGAAGAAGTTTTTTTAAATTGACAACTGCTTTGGTGAGAAAAAGGAAAGTTGCATCAAGGGATGTTTCTGCCCCATCCTCACAGTGCACCTGTTCGTTCTTCGAAGGTAGCAAGGACGGTCCTTTGAGAGTTTCATTGGGAAACCTTACACCATCCACCCCACAGCCCTACTCTTGGCCTTCATACTTTTTCCTGCTTTCAAGACTCAAAGACCATTGAAAAGGAGCACAATTTGGGTCCTCTGAGGATGGTAAAGATACCATTTGGACGTGGGGCAAATAGAAGAGCCCAGGATTCTAACAACAGGATTCTTTAGGGAAGGATTGCAGAAATGGAAATACCTCCTTCAGAAGTGGATGTTATTGTTGTGATGTGCCGTCTAGTCGTTCTAACTCATAGAGACCCTGTATAGGGTTTCTGAGGAACAGCTGGTAGGTTTGAACCACCAACCTTGTGGTTAGGAGTCCAGTGCTTATCCTACAGCGCCAAACCAGAAGTCCCAGAACTGTATAGACAGAGGATACTTCAAGAAACAATCGCCTCAATGTTCTCCCATGTAAACTATCACATTGTTGTTGTTGTTAAGTACCTTTGAGTTGGTTCCGACCCATAGCGACCCTGTACAGGGTTTCCAAGGCTGTAAATCTTTATGGGAGCAAAAGGCCTCATCTTTCTCCTGCAGAGTGGCTGGTAGTTTTGAACTGCTGACCTTAATGTTTACAGCTCGATTCATAAGCACTACACTACCAGAGCTCACAATTAAACATTTTTAATGGCTTTGTAATTTGATGTTTAATAAAAATTTGTATGCTTTTGTGGCAATACTTTTTTTTTTTTTAACTTACTCTTGCACATTAAAAACCAAGGCAAACAACAAAACAAAACAAAACAAAACAAAAAACAAAGCCAGAATATTGCAGGAATATATGAAATCATGTAGGAATATATGAAATCATGCAGGAATATATGAAATCATGAAGAAATATACGAAATCATGCAGGAATATATGAAGGGGCTTCAGAAAGTTTGTGGGGAAGTCCCATTATCTTTCCATTCCATTTTCCACCAACTTTTTGAAGTCCCTTTGTATGAATGCAGATGTTTCTTGCAGCATGGCCTATAATAACAAGTCTGCGTTGGATCAGCCAAAGGGTCTCCATCGTTGGGAGAGGAAGTAAATGTGATAATGGTTTCCTGTGGAAATTTCTGCAGACGCAGAAGCCGTGAACTAGAATCTAAAGTAACGTGGAGTGAGCTGAAAAGCATAATATTGGGCGAAAGACAGAAAGCAAAAATCAGCCATGAAACAATGTTTAAACCCTAAACCAAAGTTATCCCCTGAAGAGTTCCTCTTTAGCTGAATTAGCAACAAATGTCTACCTGGAGCATCATGATCTCTCTCTCTCTCTCTCTCTCCCTTTTTTTTTTTTTAAAAAACTTTTTATTGTGAATTGAGGGAAGGTTTACAGAGCAAATCATGAGTCCCACTTCAACAAATCACAAACTCTGCTTCATTACAATGATTGCAATTCCCTCCATGTACCATCAGGTTACAGTATTTACCTCTATTCCCTTTAACTCTTAGACTCCTCCCTCCCTGTGATTCCCCGCTACCTTCATCTCTCCTGTGCCAAGCCTCCTTCTTGTTGTAAATTGTCTTCCCCGAGAGCCATGTTAACATATGTCTTTTCCCTTCTCTCCCACCCCTTTACAGAAACAATCATCAAAGAATGTTTCTTTTAGCATAGAAACCTTAACTTTTACAACAGAGGTCTCATGCAGTATTTGTCTTTTTGCAATTGACTAAGGAGCTCTGGTAGCGTAGTGGTTACGAATCGGGCTGCAAACCTTAAGGTCAGTGGTTCGAAACTACCAGCCGCTCCGCGGGAGACAGATGAGGCTTTCTACTCCCGTAAGGATTTACACCCTCAGAAACCCTGTACAGGGTCACTATGGGTCGGAACCGACTCGAAGGCACTTCACAACAACACCAACAATTTTACTCAGGATTCCTACTGCGGCTCTGCAGGATAAGACACTAGATTCCAAGGTCAGTTTGAATGGCAAGGTCGGCGGTTCAAACTCACCAGCCGCTCCTCAGAAACCCTATATTGTTGTTGTTGTTGTTAGAAACCTATATAAGATGGCTATGAGTCAGAACCAGCTTGACATCACTTAACAACAACAACAACCATTTCACTCAGCATAATGACGACCTCCAGGCTCATCCATGTTCTGAGGTGTTTTTCGGATTCATCATTATTCTTCAACATTGCACAGAGCATCATGGCCTGAAAGACTTGTTTTTAGGGGATCACATTGAAAACAGCAACTTGTAAGATGCGATAGGAAACTTAGGGGGCACTGATATACGTGTAAGTGGAGACATCATTTGGAAAGGAGGGTTGGAAAGCTTGCACAGCTGGAAGAATGGAAACAGTGCCACTGAATTGTACCTGCAGACATTGTTGAGTTGGTGTAAGCTTTGCCATTCATGTTTTTGCCAGAACAAAATAAAATAAATTCTTTTTAAAATTGGAAACCAGGACACAACCTACCACATAATATTATGGGTTGAATGGTTGGTTGGTTATGTGACATGGAGTTGGTTCTGACTCATAGGGACCCTTGTACAGGGTTTCAGAGGCTGTAAATCTTTACGGGAGCAGAAAGCCTCATCTTTCTCCTGCAGAACAGCTGCGAACTGCTGACCTTAAGGTTCAAAGCCTGATTTGTAACCACTACGCTACCAGAACTCTCCCTAAAGTATGGGCTATAACCCTAACCCCTATGCATAGGAATGTAATCCCATTTGAGGATAGGATTCTCTTTGTTTTGTTTAATATGAGGCCATATTAGTGTTGTTGTGTGCCAGGGAGTCGATGCCGATGTGACAGAGTAAAGCTGTCCGATAGAGTTTTCTTGGTTTGTTTTTTTTTTTAACTTTTTTATTGTGAATTGGGTGAAGGTCTTAAAGCAGAATATCACTTTCCCATCCAACAATCCAGATGCACTTTGTCTGTGTCTATCGATTGCAATCCTCTCAGTGTAACATAGCTTTCCCACTGCCCCGCCATATTGTCTGCTTCCATTCCGCTTTCTTTCCTGATCCTTCTGAACTTTGTCCTTGGGTAAATGCTTCTTTTTTAATTTCAAGCTATAATCTTTAAAAAGCAGTTCACCAGGTCTTCAGTCCTTAGAATCATTAGGTTGGTTTGAACTGCCAACGTTCCCCTTAGCTGCCTGCTTAACCATTGTACCAGTAAGACTACAATATCAGTGGAAGAGGTGTCTTAAAACTCATGACTTTTGAGATACTAAAAAAAAAAGTTGATTAGACACAGAAGCAAGAAAGGACAAACAGACAAGACAGATATCACACTGAGATGCACAAAGAAGCCAGCAAAAGATACTGGAAAAGAGAAAGATTTCCCCTGAGAGCCAACAGAGAAGATGTTCCCTTAGGCCTGGCATCTTGAATTCTGACTTCTAGCCTCCAGACTGTAAGAAAATAAACTTCTGTTCATTAAAGCCCCCTCCTTGCAGTATTCGTAGCAAACTATGAGATGCAGTATTAAATTAAAATGTGTACATATATAAAATAACACTATTTTCCAAGCTAAAGTATACATTCATACTTTATACAACAGTGTATATCAAACACACTGAAGACATGAGTCAGGAAAGATTAGGAAAAAGAAAAAATGATAATGATATAAAATAAACCATAAACAAATCCTGAAAAGAAAAAAAAAGCCAATCCAGTACAGGCTGATAAACTGAGATGTACGATTAATGTTCCTTTCTTTACTTAAAACTCAAGGAACCCCAAACTAAAAAAGTACAAAAGAACATCTTTTAAACAGTGGTGGCTTGTATGTTGCTATGATACTGGAAACTAAGCCACCGGTATTTCAAATACCAACAGGGTCACCCATAGTGGACAGGCTTCAGCAGAGCTTCGAGACTAACACAGACTTGGTGAAGGCCAAAACGAGTCATTGACAATATGGATCTGAATGCAGGATGCTCTTAAGGAATGACCAAGGTGAGCCCCAGCTCTCTTACTTTGGATTTATCACACTAGACCGACGGCTAGAGAAGGACCTCGTGGTTGATCAAGTAAAGGGTCAGTAAAAACAAGGAGTCCTCTTCCCAAGATAGATTGATACAGGACTCAAACATCCCAATAATGATGGAGATTGCTCAGGACCACTGACCAATGTTTGGTTCTGTTACACCAGGGGTGGGGAACGTTCATACCACAGGCTGTATAAGGCCCAAGAAATCATTTGGTCTGGCCCTGCCAAGGCAGCCGCAGCTCCAACCATCACATTTGTTGTTGTTGTTAAGTTCTGTCGAGTTGTCAGTTCTGACTCATAGAGACCCTGCATGGCCTTTCCAAGTAGCAGTTGGTGGTTTGAACTTCCAACCTTGGGGTTAGCAGTCCAGTGCTGATTCTACAGGATACCCTACCAGGAGTCCAGCCATCACATCAAGGGTGAGTTAATTAAATGTTTGACCAAATGTAGCAGGCTGATTTTTAAGTTGATAATTTTGTATGGCGGAAATAAAGTTCTCCACTCCTGTGTGACCACACTAGGTCACCATGAGTGGGAACAGATTCCATGGCAACTATGAACAAACTGCCTTTTTAGGGCCAACAAGTCCCAGAGATTTCACTTAGTCCAATCAAACCTTGCAGCTGGGAAAACTGAGACATTGAAAGGAAGTATGTGGGATGTCCTGTTGCTGTTGGTGGATGAACCCTGGTGACCCTGAGTGACAAAGGAGAACTACCCCCCAGGGGGTTTCTAGACTGCTGTCTTTATGGAAGCAAGCCATTGGGTGTGTCTCCCACAGAATGGCTGGGTAGGTTCGAACCGCCCACCTTTCTGTTAGCAGCTAAGCACAGAGTTGGGGAATCCCAGGAGCACTGGGCAAAGAGTTGTCTGGGGAATTAGAGAAAGGACTGTCCAAATGCAGTCGGATGTGCAGATACAATCCCTGTGGCTGAGGCACATGAGAGGAGGAGGCATGAGTTGTCTGGTTAGGAACAGTTGTTGTTGTTGTTATGTGCCATGGAGTCGGTTCCGACTCATAGTGACCCTGTACAGGGTTTCCAAGGCTGTAAATCTTTATGGGAGCAGAAAGCCTCATCTTTCTCCTGTGGAACAACTGGTAGTTTCGAACTGCTGACACTGAGGCTCGCAGCCTGATTCATAATCCCTATGCTACCAGAGCCCCCTAGCAGCATAGGGAGATATGAAATGCCCTTTGATGGGTAGTGGCTATTCCTGGGGGTACCAGCTCACTCCTTGGGGCACAGGCTATCTCTGGGTCCCCATTTTCACAGGTAAAACCCCACCTTTGCTGTCTGTGAGCCTCCAGACCTGTAGCTACTCACCTCCGGGTAACTCGGCGGGGCCACAGGTGTCCCTGCCCGTGGGCACGTCAGCTTGCCACAGGCGCTTCGTACACATCTTCCACAAGCCTAGGTGAGCGGCGTCGCAGACCGCACTCCCGTTGACCTTGTAGGTGTTGAGTTCCACCCAGAACTCGGTGCCCACGGCCAGCACAGCCAGCGTGGCGCCCACGGCGGTCAGGAGCAACGCCAACTTGATCTTCCCCTCACGCTCTGGGGTCAGCCCGGGGCCTTGTTGCCCGCGCCGCCGGCCGGCAGCCGCGCAACGCCGGTCCTCTTCTTGCATGAGGAAGTTGGACCACATCATCATTTTGGTGGCCGTCCAAAGTTTAATGAAGGCAGGATTGAGAAGAATTTCTGGGGTTGGGGGTAGGGGCAAGGGGGACGCTTGGGGCTTTGAATGGGGCGAGTGGCTGAGTTTTCGCTGGGATATGAAGGCGGGAGATTGGGTCCTCCCTGGATTTTACAGGAAAGGTGCTAGGATTCCTGAAATGGTCCAGTCGACGTGGCCTCTGGGACTTAGAAGAGACAAACCAATAGATCCCTGGCTGGGAGGACCCTCTGAGGTTTAGAGGAGGGTCTGGAAGACCCTCTGGAACTCAGGGGGAAAAAAAAGAGGTGTAGAGGAAAAGCCAGGCTCAGAGCGAGAACCTGGGTACCCCATTGAAACAATTCACAAAAAGGTAACCAGATTTCCTGGGGAAAGGGATCTGGGTACCCCACTAGGGCTCAGAGTTTGGGGTACCCAGGAAGGGAGCCGAGGTTCTCTGTGTGTTTGAGAGGAGATAGGGCAGGGCTCAGAGTCTGGTGGTGGGGAGGGAGGAAGCCTTTTGTGGGGTTCAGAACTGGAGTCTCCAGAGGCGCTAAGAAGTGACCGCGTGGCAGTGATGCGATGGGATCCCACAGGGTTCCTAGATGGGAAATCGCTGGGGTTCAGAGATGAGGGGGTTGAGGTCTCTGGGACCTACTGGGATTTAGGAAAAGGAGGTGGGGCTGTCCCAGCTCATTCAGAAAAAAGAAATCAAAGTTCTCACAGGGGCCGAGCAAGGAAAGTGGTGAGAACTAGCGGGGACCATAAAAGGGGGAACCAAGTTCCCCACTGCTCAGATGAAGCGGCTGTGGTCTTCACCTCCACGCAGAATACTGGACACTCCGCTCCCCTCCCCCGGGCTCCCAAGGCCGGCCAAGCCAAGTCAGTGCCAGGCTCGGCTCCTGTCCAAGGGGGCCCCCCCACGGGCCGCCCACCCGCGCCTCCTGGGCCGGGGCCCCCACGTTTTCCTGCCTGGGCCACGCCGCCCCCAGCTCCGCGCTGCCTGCGATCGTCCAGCTCCGCCACAGCCGCCTCTTGCACCCCGGCCTCGCCCCCACCCACTCCCCCCACCTTCCTGGGCTATTTCGAGCGTGACCCGTAAATAACACCCCGCACCTGTCGCCGGGCGCCTGTTGCCATAGGGATCCCGGGTATTTTAAGGGGACAAGGGAAGGAGGAGGGGCGAGAGGGGGTCCGGTCCTGGATTGGCTCCCATTTCCGTAAGGGGCGAGGGCCGGATTGCCGATCTAGGATCTCCTCGTAGGGGACTCTGGGATCCAGCGCGGAGCGGGCAGGCCTGGGAAGCTGGGAGGAGCGAGGGCCCCGAGGGAGACTTGGGTCACTGAAGAAGGGGTCTAAGGACCAGGACTGGAGAGGACTGGGTCTGAGGGAGGAGGGGGCTGGGGGTCAGGACTCCTGGGTCTGAGGGAGGAGGGGGCTGGGGGTCAGGACTCCTGGGTCTGAG